AGTGCTGAGAGATATGCTTAAAAGCAGGGGATTGGGTTTGTCAGATCCTGTAGCTCAAAAGGTTTGGGCAGAGGCAATTCATTTGGCTCCCATTGGGGCTAATGTTTTCACTGGGGATACATGGGAATCATTGGAAGGGTTTGAGGAAGAAGGCAGAATTGCAACAGAAGTGAAACCAAAATCAGCCAAAGTAACAAGGGGCACCTCGGGTGTGCCTTGGCCAGCTTCAGAGCCTCCTGGGCAGAGGGTGGGATGCAGCAGAGAGCACGGTGTCGGTGGCAAAAGATGCCCACCCCACCCGCCTTGAACTAACGCATGCACGGGTCAGGGGCCCCTGCGAAAGCCAGGCGGGTACCGCTCCCTGGCCGGCAACCAGCGCGAGTCAGGGTCTCGCTGGAAAGCCAGGTGGGGACGGCGCCCTGGCTGGGACCAGCAGCCACCACCGGGCATATTTAATAAAAATTAATTAATTAGTTAATTAAAAAAAAAATCCTGGGCAGAAGGGTGGGATGCAGCGGAGAGCACGGTGTCGGTGGCAAAAGATGCCCACCCCACCCGCCTTGAACTAACGCATGCACGGGTCAGGGGCCCCTGCGAAAGCCAGGCGGGTACCGCTCCCCGGCCGGCAACCAGCGTGAGTCAGGGTCTCGCTGGAAAGCCGGGTGGGGACGGTGCCCTGGCTGGGACCAGCAGCCACCACCGGGCACATTTAATAAAAATTAATTAATTAGTTAATTAAAAAAAAAAGAAAACCACCTTTGGCGGTGCACCGCAACCAGCTCCTCTGGGACAGCTGAAAAAGCCCAGGGGAAGGTGGTTCAGGGAGGGGCCCTGCCCCCTCAGTTCCGCAGGTGGCCAGGGAACCACCCAGCCCCCAAATGCTACAGCCCTGCGGGCAGCAGTGCTCACTGAATCCTGGGCCGAGGGAGTCCTTAGTAAAGCCTACAATGTTTTCACTGGGGCAGACATGGAGAAACCAAAAAGCAGGTCAATTCAAGGAACTCATGGCCATTGTTTTCTGACAGTATTCAGACTCTTACACTCCTTAAAGAGAGAAGCCCCTATCTTCTTACAGCATCTTAGAGGGCACCAAGGATTGCCTGGGCTTTTATCCCAAGGTAATGCAGAGGCAGACAAGATGGCTTACTGCCTCTGCAACAGCCAGGGGTGAGCCCCAGGGGACTCAAGCCAAATTCCTTGTGGCAAATAGATGTCACACACTATGCTCCTTTTGGAAAGCTTAAGTCCAGTGCTTTGCAACCATCAAAACCTAAAATTTCAATTACAAAAACAAAAAGGGAGAATAAGCCCCCACCAACTGTTGGGTATGGCCTTATTCACTATTAATGTTCTTAATTTTCAAAAAAATCAGTTGGAATCCCGGTTTCAGAAGCATTGGGGATGACAGGAGCAGAAACCTGAGGTACAGGTAAGATGGAAGGATCCCATCACCGGGCAATGGAAAGGACCAGATCCATTGCTAACCATGAGTCGAGGCTTTGGGTGTATCTACCCTACAGGAGATTCAAACCCCATATGAGTGCCTGCGAAAAACCTTAAGTGGGTAGGCCAGGATCTGACTGACTAGCATGATGGTCCATTGACAATAGTTCGTGAGACAAAATTCCTCTCTTTATTTATATCCATCTGAGGTAAAGAACTCAGTTAGTTCCTTGACTTCATTGCAGCCTCTTTGACAACTGGCTGATTGGCTAAAAGGTACATGGTCTCAGAAGTATTTCAATTTGTCCTATGCCATGACTTGCTTTGTTTCTCTTATCTTTAAGTGTCTTTACCAGATAACTCAGCGACAGAGGACCCTTGGAATTGCCATGACCCATCTCCTCATGATTACAGACTCCCCCAGGACCCCCTCCAGTTGCCTAAGCTTGGCTAACAGAGTTAGGCAGAGACTAAGACTGTCATGGGCTGGCATTACCCACGCGGCTGCCCTTAATTATGACACATTTTTAGCCAAAGACGGGTAAGATGTCCCATGACAAGTACTCCTAAGACAGGACATGCACATGGCCAGGTGCATGATCCAATGACGGTCAAGGCTTGATCAGAGGTGACACAACCTAAGACAGACAAAAATGCATATGATTAGAGGAAGGAGATAGCCATCTCTCCTCAGGGAGCCACCTATGAGGTGGGTAACCCATGAAATAAAGTCAGTCCAGCCTTAAAATAAAAATAAAAAGAGGGATATGTGGGGACCTAAAGGCCCCACCTTGCATAGGTCTGAAAGGAAGTTACTGGGGGCATGCCCTGGCTTGCTTTGAAAGTCTGAAGAATACTTCTGCACTGTTGAGGAGTGCATGATCAGCGCATGACCATCCTTAAGATACACCCTCAGGGTGAAGGGGGGTGTCCCAGGTGCCTTTTTAAGCTTTGTAACACCCGCAATAAGTGAGTCCCTGCTTACCTAGACTCCCCGTTGCGTCTGAGTGTCCCCAGGTATTGGGGGCAGCGTGGGCTGGTGAATGGCGTACTTACTCATCCCCAATCATCACTCCGCAGGGGTCACTGGTTTGAACCCCCAGCACATTCCTGTATAAAATGAATACATGCCAGTACACAGAGTTAAAAAGAGAAATTCCCATCTTGCTGTATTTGATATGGCTTTACCAGTAAATCAAAAACACTGACTGAAAAGCAACTGGGAGACGTTCTTATGGAAACATGAAGTGAAGTCAATATATGCAACACCAAGAGCTTTCTTAGGTATACTTATTGATTTGAAAAATAAACAGCACTCAAGATATCAATCACAAATTAGAAAAACAATTGAAGAACTTGTAAGTGTACTTATGGATGCACATATTATTTGAGAAAATTTCTAAATAGTTTTGAGGTTATTAGTAATTGTATATTCAAACTATTTTTGATTAAAACAGTTCATAGTAAGGCAAAATGATTCTCCATAACTGTTGTGTTTTGTTTCTTCTTTTGTTCCCTTTCTTCCCTGAGATTGCCACCTCCAATTCTGTCATCTCCTCAACTCCCCAAGTAGGGCCTGTGCAGTCTGGGCTCCCGATTAGACCTGCTGATTGTCTCACCTGTGATGATCATGTTCCTTGTCTCACTGTGGGCTGACCATGCTAAGGAGAGTCTGCATGGTCTTAGCATCTGTGCTAATGCCCAAGGGAACCACTCACAGGGCCCACGGTAAAGTGGTTCCAAAGGAGTCCAGCTTGATTTTTCTGGGCAAAGCTCTCTAGGAAGTCAGTTCTCCCCTCCTTGAACAGAGGAGGTCTGTCATAGCTCATGTCAGAGTAATACTGGAGGGTCACCTTCTCTCCAAGGGTCAGGATAGGGCCTTGCTGGGTCAGTAGAGAGGGATTTCTGGACAGCCCCAGAGGTTAAAGGAGCTGGTTCTTGCCAAGCACTTGCCCCCCACCTTCCCTGCAGGCATCACGTTCTCTCTTACTCTGATATTATAGCTATAGAGCTAAGAGATCCTCCAGCGTCCCCCCATCTAGGACTCTCCCAGGAGCAGGAGGGCTAATGACAAAAGGTTTTAGGGTCTCACAAAGTTTTTGGGCCAATGATGGGATTGTCTTACCCGAAATGTGAAATTCCAGGGTGTCACTGGATATTGACCACACCTGGGGATTGCTCATGTAATAGAGCACCTGAACTTCCATCTTTGTTTGAGGGTCACAGGGACCAGAGAACAGCCATTGCAAATTTCCAGTGTGCATGTACTGTGCTTTCAGGGCGCTGGAGAATGTCTGCTCTTACTTCATCAGAATGAACTTGTCATATACCTGCCATGAGACACAGTAGAGGGTCACTTTCCCTTATGAGGTCAATACAGGGCTGGGCAGGGCTGACAGGCTGGGCTTGGTGTAGAGGCCTAGGAGAAAAGTAGGAAGCATTAAGTGGTCTCACACAGCCCACTCTGTCCCCTGGGGCTGTGCTGTGAAAGAGGGCATCTAATTTTTAAAGTTTTTTGTTTTTAATTGAATTTTTGTGAATTTCATACAATATATTTTGATTATATATAGATGCTATCCCCTATCTGCATCTCCCTGAATACGTGCTGCCAAATTTCATTTAGAGCTCTCTCTTTCTCCTTCTCTTTGTCTGTCTTTCTGTCTCTCTCTCTCTGTATGTATATTAATATATTTTAAGACCTATAGCCAAAGTTGTATCCCAAATTCCCTTCAGTGTGGGTCCATCTTAATTCTGTGAGAATTTTATACCAGCATACAATGTATTTTGATCATATTCACCCATACCCCTCCTGCTAATTACTCCTTGAAAACACCCCCCAGCTCCCTTATATTCTCATACTCTCTCCTTTTATTTACCTCCTTGTTCTGTCCATGTTTGGTGCTGCGTCATGGATCAGATGGTGTATTTGGCTTTGTTTCCTGGGTCCTGTGGAGTCCATTTGTCCCAGGGTGCCAGGTGTCTGTCTTTATGCAGAATATATAATTGGGGCCCCAGAGTTCAGTAACACCAAATGGTCACAGGACTCCCTGGGGTGATCACAGAGCCTGGCTCATCCCAGATGGTGGGTTTGTGGAGGTTTCCTGTAAGGAATTAGGTGAGAATGAGGTGGGTCTGTTTGAACAGTGACACAGCGGAGGTCACACTTAGAGAAGACACCTAAGCTGATCCCTGAGGAGGACACGTGGAGGCACATGAGACCCGTCTGTCTTCTGGATTTTCTTTGATTCCCTCTCACTTTCTGCCCTTTGTTCCTGTATCTGATTTCCCACCATCTTCATACTGTGTCAGTGGGTTTATGTGCCCTACCTCCCCTCACCCAAATAACAACAAGACCTCCCTTGGGAACATGTGACAGGTAGAAAATCATTCAGGGAAAGGCCAGTATTTACCAGAATCCAGAAGTTCCGGGGGTCAGTGTGTACTGACCAAAGATGGGGTTTTTTCAGGTGATAGCCATAGCATCTAAGAGTCTGTCCCCTGCTGGGGATCACAGGGCCCACAGAGAACAGGGCCTGGGACTGCCCTGTGGAACTATCCTATGAGTCCAGAGTCCAGGCCAGTTTCTCATTTCCTTCCTTGGTCAGAACAAACCTGTCATAGGGCTGCTCTGAGACACACTGGAGTATGATGACACTCCCTCCTGAGGTCACCTTGTTGCTGAGCAGGGCTGAAAGGCTGGGTTTGCTATAGAATCCTAGGGCAGAAGGAGGAAGCATGCTAAATGGGGTCACACCTCACTCATGATCCCTCAGTGTGGGGCTGTGAGAAGGGGCACCCCCATGAGCATACCATATTATTGAGTGCAGAGCCTGGAGCTGGGACCCAAGAGTGCCCCTCACCTGTCTCCACAAGATGGAGGATGTCATTCTCCTCTATCCAGCCAGCAAGGGTCTGATAATAACAGTACTATCACCCTGCATTTTCCCATGCAATGGATTGAATGAGGAAATTGGCATTGTTGCTTGGCTCCCATGTGGTCTGTCTGAGCCAGGGATCTTGGCTTTCATCTTTACAGAGAAGATACTCCTGGGCACCTGTGGTCCCCTCACATGAGATGTTCACCTGTATCCCATTGGTAACCACAGAGGCTGTTTCAACCCTGATTTGGGGTTTGGGAAGCATCTCTGAAAGGAAATCAGAGCTTCTTATAGCAACATCCCTCCTCAGACTCCTTTTCTTACCCCCAGGACGTGTCAGGCATCCCAGCATCAGCCCATACCTGCTGCTCCCCACTCCCTCTATCCAGAGGCGGACCCTTGTCCTCCGCGAGGAAGAATGACATGAGTAGCTGGGGACACCTACCTGCCAGTATTGGACACCTGAGGCTCAGACTCAGTCCTGGAAGAGAGTTCCCTATGAAAGATTTACACCATGAAATCAGAATATGTCCTCCCCTCCCAGGTGCCTGCTTAGATCCTGATGTGTTGTGATAGCCCAGGGCCAGATGGTGGAGACGGGAACCTCCCATATTATGGTGCTTTCTCACTGTCTACATGTATTACCGAGGCAGAGCAGGGTTGTCAGGCTGGGGGTCATGGCATCTCCGTTCTGTGGCTACAGACTTGCACATGTTTGTTCTTGCCAAATGAGCAGAGTGGGTGACTGTTGGAGGCTTGGTCCTCTCTCCTGTCACAAGATGTCATTTTGTCACTCTACAGGAAGGGGAGCTGCCTTCCCCAGGAAACTGGATCTTGTTTATCTAGTGCTGTTGCTTGGGCAGGATACAGAATCTCTCTCTCTCTCTCTCTATATATCTCTCTCTCTCTCTCATTCTGTCTCCTTCTCTTTCCTATCTTCTCTCATTTTCTCCTCTTCTCCACCCTCTCTGTCTCTTGAGAGACAGCCTCATGATACCTAGGCAGGTCTCATATTTCCTGATTTTCCTTTTTGAGTGAGCCTACTGTGTGCTGGGTTGACAGGTCTGGTTGTTGTCTCGTCTTACAGAAGTGGCATCTCCCTGGAACCCATTCATGTCTGCATGATCTGTCCTCGTGTGACCAGGGGCCAAGATGTGGCACCAACAGACACAGAGTCTTCCTGTCAGCAGTTCCCCATCAGTGTGGCTCAGAGCTTATATTTCCCTCTGATCCTCCCCCCTGGGACTCCTTCACTCCTTCACCCAGACCATCTTCACAGCACTCTGGGATCTTTACCATGGCCAGTCATCTCCTTGGGCCTGGAGATACTTTGGAAATGGTATGGGAACTTTACCTTGGGAGACATGAACTAATGTCTATTCATCCCGTGAAACACTAATGACAGATACACAGAAATGATTCACCCAGTCTACCTTGGTATGTCAATGAATTACATTTTAGGTGTGTGGGAAACTTACTGGAGGCTGTACCAGTGGAAAAAAAATTCCCATTAAGTATTAACTGTCTCTATCTTCTAGGAAGATAGAGAAGGGTGAGGTGAGTCTAAAACTTATAGGTCCAGGCTGCATTCTCTGCTAAAAGGGAGGGGCACTGAAAACAGTGGCTCTGATAATCCCTGCCTTGCAGAACACTGTTGGGTTGGCAGGAGGAAGCGGCCTGGTCATAAAAGTGCCGGCTCCCTGCTCTGTGGGAAAGCATCTTGCTCAACAACCCTTAGCTCATCTCCTTGTCCTAAACCAACAACTCAGCTATCCCTGGCTAAGAGATTAGGCCAGGTTAAAGGTTTACTCCTCCTTGGGATGTATAAAAACCATCTAAATTCTAAAATAAATCGTCCTGTTGGGAAGACACAGGTCCCAGAGTTTGACTCTGTCGCTGGTCAGACCCTCTATCCCCAAGCCAGCAGGTCCCCTGCTAAGCAAAGCAAACCTGAGTCCCAACACTATCTTGTCATGGAGAAGTGGGGTTCATGAGGCCCTTTCTTTCATGAAGGAACACATTGATCAGACCAATCTTGTGCAGGTCATGTTTGAGTAGTTCCTAAAAGCTCAAGAGGGCAAGAGATGGGTATGTCTGGAGAAAGACTTTCCACAGCAAGGAAGATGCAGGTTGATGCTGCAGGGGGGACGCAGAGCAGCAGAGACACACTCAGCATCTGACCGTGCAGCTCACGTGGAGCCTCTGTCCTGGGGAGGAGCCCAGAGGAGACACGGAGACAGGGAGGGAAACCCGGACTCTCTCATGGCTCTGGTTGGTACTCCTCAGCTGAACCATTCCCTTCAGGTCGTTCCTCCTTTTCTCCCAACATGAACCTCACCATCTCCCGTGGAAGAACCTTCACATCCTCCTCAGCTTCCCGTGCCCCTCGTCAGAGCTCTGCTCATGGGGAGGACGGTGCTTTTCACTTCTGCTCATCGCCCTCTGCGCTTGTCAGACTGAGCACAGCGTCGTCTCTGTGCGCACCGCACTGGGTCCTTGTTACCTGCGGTCTGCCTCACATGCCGGGTCAGTGGTGCTCGTGATAGGAGTCCTCACCCTCGTTCCATTTTCAGAGAGAGTCCACATGGGTTTGTGGCCTGAAAGGTTCGAGGGTTTGGACAATGTCCCGCTGACCAAAGGGTCTTGGTCTTCTCTGAGAAGATGGTCCATGCTCGGTTCCAACAACATTTAGTTGTAACCTTGGCCTTCCTGGGCAGTGGGAACCACAGCGTGGAATTGCATCCATGGAATTGGCCTGTGGCCATGTCTGTAGGAAGTTTCTTGATTATTGAGTGATATGGGAAGGCCCAGCTCACTGTGGGTGGTGCCATCCCTGGGCAGGTGGGCCTGTTGTATAAGAAAGCAGGATGAGCACTGGTCCATGGTCTGTGCTCCACGTTCCTGCCCTGAGTTCCTGCCTTGTGTACCCTGAAGAGGATCTGTGCTGTAAGGCAAATAAACCCTTTCCTCTTCAGATTGGTTGGTCAGTGTTTTTTAAAAATATTTTATTTATCATTTTATTTTTATTTTATGTGTATTCATGTATTGCCTGCTTGTATGTAAGTGCACCCGTGTCATGCAATGCTGCTGGAGGACAGAGAGGGCATCGGATCCCCTGGAAATGGGGTTTTGGACAGTTTTTAGGTGCCATTTTGGGTGCTGGGATTTGAAACCGGGTCTTCTGTAAGAACAGCCAGTGTTCTTAACCTCTCAGCCATCTATCCAAGCCCCTTGGTCAGTACTTTTAAAACAGAAATTGAAAGCAAATTAAGACAGAGGTTGGTTCCAGGAATGGGGCATATTGTGGTGACGGACCTGGCAATATGTGTTTCAGAAGACTGTGGAAGTTTCGGGGCTTCGGGCTGGAGAAAGGCTTGGAGCTCAGTGAACTGTTCTGTAGGAACTTAAAAGAAATGCTGATCAGGCTTGTGAAGCTTCAAAGGGAAGCAAAGAGTCTTCAGGACTGTTTGTGTTGAATTAAGAACTTTGGAAGTGAAACCTTTTATGCTTTTCTTGAACAATTGATGCTGGTTAGCTGGTGATGAAAAGTCAGCTGTGAGTAAGAAGAGACCAACATCACTGAGGTGAAATCTAGGAAGTATTTCCTTGAGGTCAGCACACAGAAGCTGTGGTCCAGAGGGTGCCCAAGGCTCCATCTCAAGCTGGAAGCAGGACTTGATAATGTATAAGAGTGTCCTATATGGTACTGGTTTTGAAGGCATGAAAGGTTCATGGAGAGCAGCTGAGGTTTGCAGTGTGAGAGGCCAGGAGAGTCATTGGTAAACGTGTGCCTTAGTTTTGGTGAAGACCCACGGGACTGTTGGGCTCATGGAAAGAATCTGAGACTTTGCACCTTGAGAGATTAGGAAAGGTTGCTGAAGTTGCAGCCTCAGAGCAGAGGAGACCTCCACATATTGGAGGTACCAGGACGATGTGGCAATCACCAAGGGCAGTGGCATGAGCGTTCAAGACGAGCTGTGTGTGGTGTGGATGGCAGAGCCAGAGAAGTGGAGCTGCCCAAGCCCTTTGGAGCCCAGAAGATCATGAGTCAATCCCAGATGTCTAGCCTTGAGCTACTTTGCTGGATTTAACTGTCAGTAACTCTAGTTCCAGGGGACCTAACAGCCTCTTCTGTCCTCAGAGGGCACTGTAGGACACGGGTGCACTTACACACATACAGGCATAATACTCATATACACAAAGTAAAAATAAATAAATAATTTATAAAAGTTGTTTTACTGGAGGAGCAGTACATGCTCTTAACCGCTCTTAACCGCTGAGCCATCTCTATAGTCCTTTTCTTGTTCCCTAAACCTTGATATTTACAATAATCTTGTGTCATATTTCACAATGTTTTTCCATTTTTGTGAGACAGGGTCTCACTTTGTAGTTCATGCTGTACTCAAACCCTTTCTGATTTCTGGGATTACAGAACCGGACCACATGCTCAGGATTTTTTTTTTTTTTTTTGGTCTATTTGAGACAGGGTCTCCCTGTACCCCCAGACTTCCTGGAACTTGCTGTGTAGACCAGACTGCCATTGAACTCACAGAGATCCGCCTGCCTCTGCCTCCCGAGTGCTGCGCTCAAAGGGGGGGGGGTGCCACCACCACACCTGGCAGTATTTGCGGTTTTTTGATGTGAGCACGCATCACTGCAAACTTTCTTCAGTACTTTTTTCTTATAAAAGTCAGTATGAAGTTATTTTGGGTACTTGAGTTGGAACACAGGGCCTTTAACATTTATTCATGCATCTACCCCTGAGTACCACAAGCTCCATCCAATAAAATTTAGTTTATTGTGTTTTCAACTTTGTCCTGAAGTAATTTTTCATTGTCCTTCTATGACGAAATGGTTGTTAAAATGTGTTGCTTAATTCTCACGTGTTTGTGATCTTACCTGTTTTCCATTGAATATTGATTTCTAATTTTATACCATCGAGTCAGCACAGATACATGATATGATTCCCATCTTCCCAAACTTGTTGAGACTGGTTTGGCACCCCACCATTACTTATCCTAAGGATTGTTCTGGGAGTGGTTGAGAAGATGCCTGCTCTGAGCAGAGGATGGAAGGTTGCTGTAGGTCTGTTAGGTCCATCTGGTCTGCAGAGTTGCTCACGTCCTAGTGCTCATGTTTGTCTGGATGTTGTGTTCAATATTTATTTAGACCCAGGGATCTATTGTTATTGTGTTGTTCTGTGTCTCTCCCTTAATAACTGTGTCGATGTGCCTGTCATGTTGTTGAGTTTTGATGGGAGGTATGCATGCTTTCATAATTGCTGTATTTTCTGATGCACTGACTATATGGTCATGTAAAAGTGAATTTTTTGTCTACTGTGACCAACGTTTTACTCCAAATTCTCACAGAAACTCAAGTTTTCATCTTGTATCACTCTTACACTTCAGTAATAAACATTTATTATTAAGTCTTCCTGCCCTATGTTCTGCTGAACTGCCATTGATAAGAAACTTGTCATTTCATATTGTTAGTTGAACAAAGCTTTTCTCAGGTTTTAGAGTTCTAGGTGAGGATATCTTTTCTGGCACTCTGAAATGTTGATTTCTTTACTTTTTACTTCCTGGCTTCTAAAGAAAAGCAGATTGCCATTCTTGGCTTTCTTCATGAGTGTATGATGTGAGTTCACAGTCACAGGCATGGAGGCTTCTTGCTTGAGCACACTTTGTTTGAAGTGTGAAGAACTCAGCTCACCACCCGCATCACTGCTGTATCGAGCTAAGGAGGATGGAGGCTCCATCAAAACCCTGGAATGTTATGTAAACTTCCCATCCATCTGTTCCCAGTCCTCATGATCATTACTAAAAAGTGTTCAGCACAAAATAGTGAAACATTATTCTCACTTGCTGGCGTGTAGTGATGAAAGTCCCATGTGAACAGGGGGAGGTGTTTCTTAGATTTAGGTTAAGGCTATTTAAATGTTTTTTCAAAAAATATTTTACTTATTATTTTTATTGTATGTGTATCAGTATGTTGTCTGCATATATGTAAATGCACCTGTGTCCATCAATATCTGTGAAGGTCAGAAGAGGGCATCTGATTCCCCTGGGACTAGAGTTACAGATGTTTGTCAGCCACTGTGTGGGTGCTGGGAATTGAACCTGTGTCCCCTGCCAGAGCATGCAGATCTTTTAACCACTGAGCCATCTCTCCAGCCCCAAGGCTATTTCTTCATTGTGTTCAATAGTATAATTTTCCCCACTGGGAAGATATTCTCATCACACATCTCCTAGAGGACAGCCACAGGACACGTACAGTTCCTGTGTGGCACATGGAGAATGTGATAGAAGTCACTAATGTTCTCTGCTTTTTTCCTGATCTCTTGAATTCCAAAGATCAAAAGAACATCACTTTCTGCACTCTGGTCAGTTGAAAAGCTCAGGATTCATTGTAGAATAGAGGACAGAAGGAATGTAAGAGCCAGAGGAGGTGGATGACCCCAAGGAATCAAGAGTTTTCCTGTCAGCGAGTCATTTACTTATATGAACTCACAGCATTGGTGACGGCATGCACAAGTCCCACACAAGATCAGGCCAGACAAAATCCCAGTGTAGACATAGGAAGTGGGTAAGAAACCCCAACCCTAACCCTTCCTGAGGAACTACTGGAACTGATGATGCCTGAGGAGGGATTCAGTCTCCTTTATGGGTGAGATTCTTGGTATGTTGGCCAGACTCGAGTGAATGAACCCGCACTGAAGGGCATTTGCACACACACACACACACACACATATATACACATACACAGAATGAAACACATAAAACACACATTCACGGGTATGTACTTATCGTCTGATAATATGGAAAATTGTTATATATATATATATATGTCAAATTTGGTCAGAAGTTACTAAGCAGTGTTGCAGATACGGGAGGGGATCTAAATCTGATCAAAATAAATTGTATGAAATATGGTCAGTCTCTCTTCCTAGCCTGGGTTCTAACCCATTCCTTGTCTTGGTGCTGCAGACACTGGGGAAACCACCACTGCTCCCTGATCCTTTGCATCCAGACCAACCCAGATCCTTCTTGCAGTCCCAAGGAGCCCTTGACCCTGGTACGGCCCTCACCTCCCTCTGCTTCCCTGGGCTGCACAACCCACCAGCCTCTTCCTGGATGCCGGGGCTGACCTTTTGGCTTCCTGATCCTTTAAAACCAAACCACCCAGTTCCTTGGTGCAATCCCCAGGAGCCCTTGGGGCCTCTTCCCGCTCCCATCTCCCTTTGCATCTCTGAGTGTCACAGTCCACCAGCTGCCCAAGACCAGCATCTTTCTTGGGCTCTGCTCCCAGGCCAATCCAAGCCCAAAATTCCTGAGGACAATATCTTTCCTCGAAGGATCCAGACCTTAGGAGAAAGCCTGAGAGCATCTGATCCTCATCTGACTTGGGTCTCTGTGGGAACTCCTGAAGACAAAAGCAATCTGTCCACTCAAATATAAAATCAAAAGAGAGAACTGGAAGCTTAGATGAACCAGCTTTTCATGCCCCAAAAGTAAACCACAAAGGC